AATATCTGAGTCTTGCGGGGTGGGGCGAGGCCTACATACCCTACATACTTCAGAGCTATTTACGAATCAAGTAGGCAGATGACTTTGTGTTAACAGATTGGCCAAATGTTACGTTTCTAGGGCTCACTTTGGTTATTAAAACGGTATTTTCTTAAATACGAATAAGCTTTTAAGGGTTTGAGAGAGTCCTGTGCTAAGAATTCTGTGAGAAGGTCTTACAATTACGTTCTGAAGACTAATTAAAATAGCACTTTTGGAACTAGAACTGAAAAGCTATTTAATTCTTTAATACATCCATCTGCTAAGAAAAACTGGATAATATCTGAATTTAAGAAAGAATGGTACATAAAATCTTCTGGGAAAAACAATTATACAGACTGTTCCAAACCCTGAAGGATAACTATGTATAATGAAAAGTCCCCAAAGCTAGTAAAATTAAACGGATTTACTTTACATTTCAGTCACCACTAGGATTTTTGGGGTTCTTTGTGTTGATTAGTTACTATATATAACTATGAAGATTTATGCTTAAAAAAAAAAAAAATTGAGAGACAGGCATCACAGCATGGTAGTTGAGTAGATGTACCCAGGCTTGGCCAGTCCTCAATGTGTGATCTCCATTACACTGGTGTAACTGCTTATAACTTCTGTATGTCTCAGTTTCTTCATGAGGGAAATAAGGAAAATAGTACCTCCCTCATAAGGTGGTTGTGAGGATTAAATCAGTTAATACACAGAAAGCACTCAGAAAATTGTCAGGCACATAGTAAGCAATGAATAAATTTAGCTATTATTACTTTAAGTACTGCCAAAGGCTTAAGAAAGCATTCACAAAAGTAAGTACTCTTAATCCCAGTCTGTTTTCACTCTACATGTAGGAGTACAGCTAGGAATTAGGAGATCTGTGTTCAAGTAAAAGGTCCATCACTCACTAGTCACCCTTAGTCATTCAACAAAACTGGCTGAGCAACTGCCCGCACCAGGCACCGCTCCAGCATCAGCCGTTATTCGGGGAGCGCTGATCTCGAGACACGTTGCCAACATTCTAAAGCTGCTTCCTCATCTGTAAAATGGACATAAGATCTACCTGTCTGATTCATAAGGTTATTCTGAAGCTCAAATGAGGCAAAATGCATGAAGGCACTTGGAAGATTTAGGAAAGCACCGTCAGAGTATGTTCCAGGAATGTGGTTTAGGGTATGTCTGGACCCTCTAAGGAAGTGTATTACTCAGTTCCAGGTCTTAAAAAAACAAAACTGTAGGTGTTTCTTTATAACAACGTTTATAAAACAGTACTATGTTTATTATAAAACTTTCTCTTCTTGAATTCCAACTCTGTGGAGAGTATTAAATACCAAACAGTTGATAGAGAAATTCGTTTCCTTTAGAAACTGTGGTTGCAAAGAAAATGTGAAGCCATGTGTTTATAGACATAAGTTATTATCATTATTATTAACTAAGCCAATAACTAGCAGTTTCATTTTTTACTAACTGCTATACAAACACTATTTCATTGAGTCCTTACAGCAACTCCATAAGGCAGGTATAGCAACCCCAGTTTATAGGGCAGAATCCAAGCGACTGCAAAGTCTGTGCTCATAAACGCTACGCTACATCACACGATAAAAACTCCAGCAGAAAAAGCCATAATCATTTCTGTCTCCACCATATCACATACTTAAGAGAAGTGGTAGATCAAAGAGCTCTAAACTGTGTTCTGATCTTTGGTAATAAAAGTGACGTTAGAAAAGCTATTATAGAACAAGTCCTTACTGTTCAGTTCATTTTAAATCTTTAAAGCACATTCCCAGTTGGGTTTTGTTTTTTTTTTAAATAACCCATTGCTCAATTTAAAAAAAATTACGGAAAAGTAGAAAACAAAAATATTCACAAGTCCACCATTCCTAGTCCGCCACTGACACAGTCCCTCTGCATATATATTTTTATGCAACTTGTGAGCTATGAACTTTAGTTTTTGATGACTGTTCTTAAACATGATGCCAAATATAATGGCTAGACTGTTTTTAATTGGCAGATATAAACTAATGCTAAATGTTGGGTAAGCAGAAAATTATATTACAGAGGTATGTATTATTAATGTCTTCGCAAATTTTCCAACTGTGGAAAAACAAGCAGAGAATAACATTTCAGTGGTACTAGCTCCAAAGTATATTGGCCATGTGAGAAATTGAGTTGATCTTTGTATCTGCGTAAGTATATATACACATACATATATATATACACTCATCTACCTCTACTAAGCTTTTTTTGGCTGTTTTAAGATTTATAGGTTTCTGCAGACCTGATAACACTATAGCTAAATATATTATTAGAACAGTTAAGGAGAAAATTGTTTAGTCATTGAACTTTACCAAAGTTACGCTTACGGGTGATTAAACTGTAAAGCTTCCCCTGTGAAAAGGTTAAGTATTTGCTTCAGACAGCATTTTCAAGATAAGCAAAATGCTTTTCAGAGCTATCAATCCTGACTACAAATTCAGAAAAGAAAATTCTACCGTTTGTGAAATGATATCATAACGAGTGGCAGAAAAAATGGTGACAAAGCAGAATAATTTAGGGCAAAGATCCCAGGTATCATGTCTAAGTGTATGTAATGCCACATTACTGGCACTTCGATTACAGTGACTAACACTAAAATCTTTTTTTAAACTATCACTGAACATAACTTTTGCTTTTCCTCATGCATAAATTAAAAAATATGCAGAAATCTTTATAGAAAACAAAGTCAGGAATCACAAAGTTTTTAAAAATAGACTTTCTAGTGCTTCCTCTTACGTAAGAGATTTATGTTAGTCATAAACTCTAGGAACCTATTTATATTGCTTAATATGATTTACAAAAAATCATACCAATCCATATAAATAATACTTTGAATGTAGAAAACAATGCAGACTAGTGGCTGGCTAAGAATAAGAATGTTCAGTAAAACTGTACTTTGAAAGTCAAGAAGAGCATAAGCTTAATACTAACAGAAAACTGTCTAGATAAAGTGAACATCTAAAATATTTTTGGATTTTAGTGTATATGAAAATACATACAGTGTGTATATTTGTGTATAATACTGAAAAAACAGTTATCAGGCATTCCTGAATTAGCAATTTAAAACTGTATATACTTCTTTCAGAGAGTGAAATTATTGTCCTTAAATAGGAAAAAATTAAGCCAACCTATCCTGTCCAACTGGAAATGAGAACTATAATAATAAAATGAGATTAAAAAATTACCATGGCCTATTCTCCATAAAAGAGCAAATTAATGTTATATATCCTTTTATTACAGAACATATTTTTTTTATGGAGAGAAAAGGTTTATGCGGTACTTATATATAATTTTAAACAGAATTCCTTTTAACTTTACATTTATAATACTTCTCTTTAAAAATATCTTTAGCAGGCTACAAATTAAATGAAAGTCATGATCTATGCATTTCCTTACTTCAGATTTAGGTAACTTGAATAAAAGAAGTGAATAGTATGTTCAAAACTATAGTTCAAAAAAATATAAAGATATGGGCAGATGATCATGCTTAAAAATTACACTTCAAATTGAGCACTGGTTTTGAAGGGAGAAGGCATATTATGCTATATTGTCTATAAATATTTACTGAATAAATATGATTCTCCTGTTTTTAAAAATCTTATAAGCTGACTAAACCACAAACATGTTGAATCAGTTTTAGTAAAAACAAGCAGAGGCTTTTAAAATAGTTATAAAGAGAAATTATGATTAAAAAAAACCTTTCAGTATCTTCTGGTGACTATTTCTTTTAAGGTTAAAAAAAGCCCACCAAAAAAGTGTCATCAAATCACTGTATGTTTCAGCCTTAATATTTTAAAGTAATATATTAAGATATACTATACATATTAATAGCATGAAAGTACTTCACATTGAAATTTTCACTTTGAAGCCTTGACAGTAATTTTTAAAAACATCACAATAAATGATCATAATTTAAATTCTGAATATGGGAACCAAAAAAACCCCCAAACCCAACAACATCTGCATTTAACGCTTCAACTGAAATGTAAACTCCTAAGACAACATACATACCCATTTGCATCAGATTCAGTGTCACAGTTCTTTAAGTGGTATCACAGACAGTAATGTGTCCCAAAGTCCCTTTCTCCTCGAAAGTCATAACATTTCTGTGGATTCATCCGTTATTTGGTAAGACTGTTCATTCAGAGAAAAGTTAAAGGAGTGAGCCTGTATGTCCTTAGGGACTCTAACTTTTAGAAATATAGAAATATATTTTCTGTATATTGAAACATACAGAATATTTAACATACCATTAATAATGGTATGTTAAAATAGCAAATAATTTAAAATAGACTGAATAAATATATCTCAAATGAGAAAATCGCAGAAGAGAACAAAGAACATTTTTACCACCTAGGTACTCTTTAAGCTGCTACTGTGATGAAAAGACGTTTTTGGGGGCCTAAAACAGAACTCGCACCTTGAATGGCGGGCGTCCTTATAATATGTGGACTGGATCTTAACTCTGTTTAAAGTTACTGTGCAATTTACACATTCAGATGTGCTGCCTGATAAATGTAAAAAAGTTAGTTAAAATATTTGGTGTCGGGGCTTCCCTGGTGGCGCAGTGGTTGGGAGTCCGCCTGCCGATGCAGGGGACGCGGGTTCGTGCCCCGGTCCGGGAAGATCCCACATACCGCGGAGCGGCTGGGCCCGTGAGCCACGGCCGCTGAGCCTGCGCGTCCGGAGCCTGTGCTCCTCAACTGGAGAGGCCACAACGGTGAGAGGCCCGCGTACCGCAAAAAAAAAAAAAAAAAAAAAAAAAAAATTTGGTATCATTATTGTTATCAGTATTCACTGCAAATTATCTCATGATAATATTCTGTCCTATAATGTGGACTTAGGTCTTGTGCCAAATAGCAGCACAGATTACAGGATCGTGGTTCAAATCATGGTCAATGACTTAGCTGGTACACAGTGAGAAGGAAGGAATTTGTCTATAATAAATAAATAAGGAGCCTAGCTTTATTTTAGTATCAGTTGCTAGAACTCAACAATGGGTTTCTGGGTACCCAGAGGCAGAAATAAAGTTTCTTTTCATAAATTACACAGTGATGGTGGGGATGGAGAACAGGAGGCACTGGGATGCTAGCCAGCTTGCTAAAATATATACTTGAGTTCTACTGGAGGTATGTAGTCTTGTTGTGTATCGGTTATTTGTAAAGGCTGACTGAACAAAATTCCCTTCATCATACAGGCACTGCTGTCTGCACTACAGTAATAAAGAAATACGCTGATAGAGAGAACGGCTTCGAGTGATAAACAATCCCCAGGGATCTGCAGTGAGATTGTTGGTTGACTGGAAATGCTCTCTATCTCTCCAGATGGTATCTGTCCTTGAAGAAGCCATTCATTGCCTAGAAAATAAAAAGGTAAATTATTAAGACTGCATAAGAAGTCAAGTAGGAAATTGGACAGACCTTACGAACACTAGATTCATTCCATCAACAAATATTTACTGAAAGCCTCTAAGTGCCAGGCATTGTGCTCTGTGTGGAGGATACAAAGTAAGATAGAAGAAGTTCCTCGTCTAATCATGTTGATGTCAAATTAAAATTCTTCCTTTGAACACTGTAAAATAAATTATAAAGTTATTTCTATTGAAATCCAGATGAATACTGCCAATATGGTTATAGATTTAAAATGTGATTATGGAATTTAAAATGAAAACTATTAATAAGTTCTAGAAATAAACATAGGATACTTCAGAAAATAGATCATTTTTACCAGATAAGTGTCTAGAAATATAATATGCAAACTACAAAATAATCCAGGGAATACAAATGTATGTATAACTCTGCAGTGACTTTCAAGACGATGAATTATTGAATATCCAAAGGTGGTAATAAAAAAAAGCCACTGATTTTTTTAGAAACAAGTAACACTGAATACATTATTCCAAGGGACTCAATGTAGAAAACGAATAGACTTTGTCTACCTCATTTTAACACACAAAACTCCTCTGAGACTTAAATACATAGATTATCTATGTAACAAAAGTCTAAAAAACCACTAAAAATCATTAAGTCTTCTAGTATTAAAGTTTTTAAAATGTTTTTATTCACCCAGTGCCTTCTCTCAGAAGGAACATATGTGTCATATTGAGGAAGTGCATACTTAGGCTGACACTCAGCATTAGCTAATTAAGAGCCATCACTTGGGAAATGCAGGACCTGCTTTCCTGCCATCTTAAATAGAATACATTGAACGTAATCTAACGATTTAACGACAACTCGGGGCCATCTGTACAAAAACTGGACCATCTACTGAGTAGTGATGAAATTCTATGTCTACTTTTTAGCTTTTCTCTCTTTTGACCTCGGGATGAGTCAACAGACTAGAGCACCTGCCTCTACTGGTCCTCTTCATCTCTCCTTTAGTTTATTGCTTCTAATATTCTGTTGATTGAAAAATTAAATCTGAGATATATATATCAAATAAGAGTAAGGAGAATGTGAAAGGCTGAGAATCTAAAGAGTTAAGTGCAGAGCTTTTAAACAATTCTTTTAAAATTCTCTGGCCTTTTTGCTTGCTTCTGGACTGAAGAATATGTTTTATTTTAATGTTTGACTTTGTTAGATAGCAGGCTAGTGGGGGAACTTCTTATGTTAAATAAAAACAGGAAAATAGTAAATTACACTATCTTAATGTCCAATTCTAGAAATAAAACAGTGTTTCTTTAGATAATTTTTGGACACATCACGTGTATCTAAAATAGACAGCTAAAAATAGCTAAGAACTTTCTCTTCAGATCACTTCACTTTCCTTTAACACTATCCATGTTTTGTACTCCAATAACTTGATACTAATTAACTTGTGTATTTGACAGGGTTAAAATAAACATGTTAATTTACCAGTATCCTATTAAAAAAATACTCTGTTAATTTAATTTTTCTGTGTGCGGTTAAAGAGCAGTTATCTCCAAATGATGCAATGCTTTCAGACTAATGGACACAGGCAGGACAGTTAAACTGGCAGTTGAGGACTTGCTCTGAACATACAGAGGACTGCGGAATGAATGGCCAGGGTTTGAGTTCTCTTCTGCCCAAACATCCTCCTCTAGTACTGCACGGGTCAGCCCTCTCCTTTGTGGGGAGTAGATGGGGGTTATTTCCCCACAGGCTCAGTCACTCCAGAGCCAGCAAACTCTAACTCAGCAGTTCCTTCCGGCAGATCTCTCTGTTCTCTTGGTGTGGATACCAAGTGGGCAGTTGCAGGACAGTAGCTGCTGCTCTGAGAAGGTACCAAGGTAAGAAGGCATAAAGCCTGGATCTGGGTGATGTACAAAAGAAAAGTGTGTGAGAGGGCCTGAGACAGGAGGAGTCGGGCAGCAAATTCAAAACTGAGTGAGAACCTGTGAAAGAGCACGGGAGGCTAGGACACAGCAAGATCACTAGGGACGGGAACTTACTACTGTTCACTTTCAAATTGTTGCCTACTCTCTTAGAGATGTTGGAAAGCACTGCTAGAAGACAAGCAGTACACTGATTACTTATAAGTTCATGAAATAAGTTCACACTGTGATTCAAACACACACCCAAATCTTTACATAATTTACAGTAACTGAATACTTTCAAGAATAGACTCAAACAGGAAATGTTCTGAGATTAAGAGATCACAAATTAGTGACTGAGGACAAAGGCTCTGCCTGGACTCTAATCATAGTAATTCATCTGTATTTAATTACACATCCTCCTCCAACAATGTTTTTTCTTCTACTTGAATGGCATACTTTTAAGCAATGGCTTTGGCATTCTTGTAGCAAGAAAGTTAATGGGGCTCAAATTCTACCTTTGGAATCCCTAGAGGAGAAAACACAGCTTCAGGCTTAATAACTGGTAAGTCAAGTCCTAATGATACTACTGAAATAAAATGAACAGCAACTGAAAGCTCTAAAGCGTTTGACAGACGCTATCTGGAAAAGTGAAAGATAATAATAAAACCACCAAAGAACTGAATTAGAGTTTGTGTCAAGTTAATTCAGTTAAAAGCAAGAATATATTAAAAAAAAATCAAACTCCAGGGAAAAATCAATTTAATTCTTTAGAAGAGAATCTGAGATTTAGTGGTATAGTGGTAATCATAATTAATACTGGATCAGGACCCCAGAGACCTGCTGATTAAACTGCTTAGCCAATACCTACACTTCTGCTCCCTTGTGCCTCACCTTGGCTGGAGACAAACAGCCTCCACGTGGACTAGCCTAACTTTCAATTCATGACAGCCAGCCTCAAACACAGCCTCCCGGCCGTTCAGCAATCACACTGTATTTCCCTCATGCAGTCACCCTCCCACCTTCCTGACCCTCTTCTTTTTTCAAACCGCCAAAACCTCCCCCACCACCTCTCACTCCCACTCTCAGCTGATAGCTGTGCTTCCCAATAATTAAGAAAACAGAAGCATGCAGAAGAGTGCTTCCACAAGCATCCACTTCAGTTACCCATCTAGATCTCTGGGTCGCATACCGGGCCCTCCCTCCTTACCGTGGAAATGAGGTCCACATTCCTGGCAAAGGCCAGCCTGCCACCTCTCCTATCCTCCTATCCTTTAGGATACCCCGCAACACATACCAGCAGTCCTTTCCTCTACTGATCTTTGCCATCAATATAACAAACACGCTGCTCGCTCAACTCCGTTTTCCCCTGAGGGCAAGTGCTCTCTTTTCCCTTATCTTTTTAGCTCAGCTCCTCTAAGAGCTATCTATATTTACTTTCTCCAGTTCCTCTCCTTCAATTCTTTTTTAACCTGCTCTAATCAGGCACCTCCTCCATCACTCTGAAACGGCCCTGGTCGAGGACATCAATTAACTATAACATTGAATCAACGATCAATTCTTAGTCCTTATTTCACCTGATCTATCAATCGCGCTCAACACAGCTGATCCTTACGCTCCTTAAAACACCTGCTCCAGGAAACTACCCTCTCTCTTGGTTTTGCTTCTACTTGCTTATTCACTCTTCAGTCTTCCATGTGGGTCCCTACCTCCCTCCTTGATCTCTTTATGCTGCAGTGCTCTAGAACAGGGTCACCAAAGTATAGTCTGTGGACCGGTGCTGGTTCACAAACCATGGTGAGTTAAGTACAGAAACCGAGAGTGGGGTTTGGAAACTTTTGTAACATCCCAATGCATAACTGGTGGCTTTGAATTTTATGTCTTTAAAAAACTAACTTCGTTTTTAGGACTAATAACCCTAGAGCTAGTTTGAGATGGAGTAGCACAATGGAAAAGACACTACACTAAGAACCAGCAGAGCTGGGTTCAAATTCCATCTTTTGACCTAATTCAATATATGCCCTTCAGCAAATCACTTTATCTCTTTGAGCCCATAGTCTCACTTATAAAATAAGAGTTTTAAAACAGATGGTGTCCTTTGGTGCCTCTCAGCCCTAATATTCAAGGGCCTAACATTCTAAGACCACACGAGTCTGTCTCATATAATGAATTTGCTTAATAGCAAATGGCGGCAATTATGATTAACTTCAGGTGAGTTACACTGTTATTTAATAAAAGAATCTCAAAGGCTAAAGAAAACTGCTAAAGTGGGGTTCAATCTGGATCTTTCTGTTTTACAAGACCTTCCTCAAATCCTGCCCAACTGTAAACATATCACAAATGAGAAAAATTACTAGATCAAATCTCAAGAATTTATGAAATATTTGCATTTGCAAGATTATTGTCATACCTTCAGCTGACAGAAACCAGCAACTGGGTGCTCCTTCAGTTAGCTTTGTTCCTGATGGGAGGTCTAATCTTAGCTTGAACTGAAGAGTTTGCCCTGGAGATGCAGCCACCGGGGAAAGTCTAATGTCTGGAGCAGATTTAGGTAGTCTGGGTAAGGTCTTCTGTTTTTCTGCTGGGAATGGGCCGTCCACCATAGCACTTTCAGATCTGAAGACTGGGAGCTAGAAAACAAGAAAATCTGTTTTTTAAAGCACAAGTACTTTATAGTATTATAGACTGACAGAGCTTATTTTCAGACTTCAGTACAAACATGAGATTCTGTGTCAAGGAAACTTAATTGCCATTCTCTTCTGAATCAGAAGTTGTTTACTTAAATTTCCTCATGATTATTTTGCAGGTTCAGAAAAATATTTCATCCTGGCCAAAAAACTGCCAACATTTATGAATGAAACTGAATTAACTGTCCAATATGTTTATAGATAGCAGGAAATTAAAATAAAACTTTATCAATTTAAATGTAGTGGATATAATATACACCCTCTTATAATTTTCATTGCCAACTATAAGATGTCATTCATCTTATATCAGAGATCTATGTCAAGAGAAATGACACTTATGATGGGAATCTGTGTTTTTATTTTAAAACACATCTTGGAAATTCCTAGAATTTTAGGAAAAAAACTTGCATTTTTCCAGGCAAATGTGATATATAAAGGGCTAACTTGTATTAGAGACCATGTCCATATCTTTAAAATTAGAACTTACTTAAGTTTCTTCCAATCTTATTTTTAAGTCTTGAGAAATGTGGCTCCTAGAGCTTCCTTTAAAGATTATTTGGTAATGGATTCACCATAGGAAACAAAGATTACCCACTAGTCAGAGGATCATTAAAAAAAAAAAAACACTCAAGATTAAACAACCCAACCCACATAGTTTGTATGTGTAGTGTGTCAGTATGTCCATACATTTAAAAAGAGATGAGTCCTTTTTTTTTTTTCCCTTTTCTGAAAGTTCATCAAATTCTCTCCAACTTCTAGAATCTTTCTCAAACACTCTTGGCACAAATGGAATTTTTATTTTAAAAATAACAGGATATCCTTGGAATAGGCACCCACTCACTACTCTACCCACATGTTTCACTTTCACCACTAGAGATGGCCTAACCAAAAGTGCCTCTGTTGTTGCTGAGGATCTTAGAATCTTTCTTAAAATGATGCCCTTTAACTTAAAGATTACTTACCACAGAAACTGTTTTTGTTTCTAAATCCATCACTTTAATTTGATGGTTATTGGTGTCTGCCACATATAATAACTGACCATTCTCTCCAATACACAAGCCTCCTGGTTCATTAAAAGTTGAGTCGGTGAAATTGGAACCGATAACATTACTTGCATCTCCAGTTCCCGCTAATGTTGTACAGTTTTTTGTTTTTGGATCCACAACTTTAATCTAAGAAGATAGAACAAAAATTTATATATCTGAAGCTCAACTGCACATTTCTAGTATGGAAAAGTATCATATTAAGCAAGCCAGAGAATTCCTGATTGACATTAGTATTCTTAATAAATCTCAGAAAAAGAACAGACATTTCCATATTTTCTTAAAAAGCCAAACATTCAAATTACAGTCTAAGGGGAGATATTTCATTCTGAGGGCTAAACACTATAAAATCCCCAGTTACGTCCTATCTTCTAGAAGCAATCTTTGATAAAATTATTTATGGAATTAAAAAAAAAATTTTAATGTTCTTCTCTCCCTTCACAATGGGACAGAGTGGAACTGACTTTCTTCTCATGAATATCTAACATTGGCTGAGGACTTGGCTACTTACGTTAAACTTAATGACTCCTCGCTGTGTTTCAATTACATTAAATTCACAGTCTCTCATCACAAAAATATTAACATTTGGGTTCCACTGATTTTATAAAAAGGAAAAATGCACAGTAAGAATGCAGTAGAGACCAAAAAAATGGAAATGCTGATGAAAATGGAATTACTTGCTAACAGGCATGGCAACTGTGCAAAGGCTCAAAAATGTTCATTCGTTAGTTGACATGTTAATTTCCCTGCTACCCGCCTTGTCCTCATTTACTCAACATGTTACTAAGCAGCTTTAATGGCTTGCAATTCACAAGTTTTGGCTAGTCATTGGGAATTTGTTCAGTCCTTTCCCCCCAGCTCAGAGTACCATCACATCCTCTCTGCAAGAAAGGACCAAGAAAAGAACAGAAAGGCTTATGTACAGTTGTCCAAAACTGTCACTCCTCGCTATATTTTAGCGGCAATTGTAGGAGGCTCACAGATCTTTCAGCATTTTAAATACCTCAAGTGAAAAGCAGGGTATTATATAATTCTTTCAAGACTCACCTTGTGATTGTAAGAGTCTGCCACGTAAACTAAATTCCTTTTCTTGTCCCAAGTTACTCCAAGTGGGTGTTGAAGCTTTGCATTGATTCCTACTCCATCAACATCACCAAAAGCAAATAAATTCTTTTTTTTTTTTAAAAAAAAAGAAAGAAACAGCATGTATTAAAATTTTTTTACAGTGCTTTGTTAGGGTATAAAGTGAAAATTAAGATAGCTGTATATGCTACTTAAAGGGGAAAAAGTCTGATTTCATATAAATAGGGCTGGGCATTTGACTGAAATTAGAAAAAAATGATAGAATTCTGAACTTGAATTAATTTGTGGTGCTTAGGAATTTTATTCACAAAAATCACACATCTGATCAGGAACAGGTCAAGTCTACTGATCTGGTGCTCTTTCCACCCTACTGCCAGATATCTAATCTATGTTTTCCCCTTGCTTGGTAATCAATATTTTATCCTTCCTTTTCTCCTGAAACTTTGACATTTATATATAATCAAGTCGAGTCATTTTATTTTCTTAGGTGGTTTTGTTACTTGTAGTTCTTCATACTCACATTTCCTTTGGTTTGACTTCCATTTTAACATGGACAAGCCAAGAACTTTCTCCTTCCTAAATTTTATTAACTCTTCACAATTCAGAAAATCACAAGCTTGTCAAGCAGGCACACCACATGAGAGTGCTTCTCATTACCATAGGATCTCTCTCTCCTCCCACGAGGTGCTTTACTGCTCCATCTTTCAGCGAGACGGTTCTCACTGTACTGCTCTCACTATCTGCTACAAACAGGCAGCTCCAGGGATCCTCTGAGGCCAGAGAAAGACCTGAAGGTTGGGCAAAACCGGCTTTGTGAGGATATGAGTTATTTCGATTCTCTTCATTTCCACTTCCAGCAAACCGAAGGCAGGTTCCTTTTTTTAACTCACTAAAAAAGACAAATTCATAGGTGAAGTCAACATTGTTATACTGTGTCCAATTTCATTAAACAAATGAATGTAAATCAATGGTGACAGCATTATATACAAAAAAAAAAAAATCCAGTGATCTTGGCCTACATTGTGCAAATCACCTTTCACTGTCGTTTCTAATCATTAACTTATTTATCCACTGTGTAGAGACCTTTCTACCTTTTTAAATTTTTGACATACACAAAAATGAAACTATTCTCAATGGCAAGACAGGAAATCACTGACAAAGTTAGAAATATAAGAATAAAGATCATATCATTGATGGGATAGTTTTTTTTTTTTCCTCCAAGTGATGAGAGGTAGGTACAGCTAGATCCCACCTTTACTTCCTGACCTCTTCTTAGCTTCATGCAACATTAGGTTCTGAAAGGGAATTAAAAAGATCTAGGTAACCTTTTCTAGCTCTTGATAGCTTAAAGCTTAAATTTTCATTAAAAATGTTTTATTTTCTTGTATATAAGTAGAGACTAGAAAAAAGAATTAAAAGAATAATTTGTGAAAGACAGCCAGGTACTCATTTTAAGATAATAATATGATTACACTGCTTTAACTAATCGATTGTACAAATCCATTTCTTATATACAGTAGGGAAATTTCTATTTAAAGGACTATCGTAATGATTCCTTTTGTAATGCAGAGAAAGTTTTATACCTTGGCTTCTAAGTTTATGTCAGAGGAACTGTAAGGAAGACATGGTAATGTCCTGGGTTGAGGGAAGGGAAGAAGCTGACTTCAGATGCAAAATCACGAGACTATATGTATATCATTTCCTAATAGGGCACAACATGCAAAAGTCTAAAATGACCATCATATCATTTACTAGTTGATATGATCCCAACGCTAACTTTGGTAGGGAGCCAGGAGTGGAGGCAAAGGGATACAAAATGTATAAATACAGCCATTTATTCAAGGAACTCGTAAAAATAACCTACTCAGAGGAATACATGTAATGACCAATATGCCAAACAAATAAAGGAGTTACAACAATTTTAAAAAGGAGTTCCCTTAATTAAAGGTAGAAAGAGTGGGGAGAAACGGTAACTTCTAAAAGCTCAGGAGTTATTACCACTTGAAGATCAGTAACAAATAAAGATAAAGGGTCCTTAAAATTATAATACAGGTCAATGTGATTCAAATGGACACTTTACTATTGCAAACAAGTGACAACTCTACTTATGTGGAAATTTAGTCCACTGTTGACCATCTAGGTCCAAAACAGCCATCGCTTACAACAGCATATTCTGGTCACCTCTGCTACTACTTTCTTCCTCATCTTATATGTTATCGGTCCTGTCGCTGTTTGGGCTACTATCGTCTCTGGCCTGGATAACAGCAATCGTCTCCTCACTTGTAGCTCTGTCTCCAGTACCGTCACACTCCAAATGCTGCCAGTGTCCTTTCAAAAACACAAATCTTATGTCGCTTCCCCGCTTAAAACTTCCTATAAAGGTATAAGCAGAATAACTTTCAAATCTCTAAAGAAGACTCACAAGGCACTTCATGATCTGGCTGCTACTGACATCACTAGGGTCATTTCTTGCCTAGAAAACCTCTACTCTTCTGAACTCCTTTCTACTCTCTATCAGGTTTTAGTTTAGTACCATCTTCCAGGAAGCCTTCCTTGATACCTCAGATCTTATTTATATCAGGTGTTCCTCTTATTTATGTAAGGGACAACTTCCATTTAAAGGACTACTGCAGTGATTCCTTTTGCACACAGCGCCTGTACTTCCCAACTATTTTTTGTTTGTTTTTGCTGATCTGATTCTTCCTCTGAGAACAGTAACCACATTTTTTCATTTTATTCTTAATATAGTAAACATATCATTTCATCCCTACGGCCAAGCACAGTGCCTAGTTTGCTTAATAAATATTTGTTAGATGAATGATTAAATGTTGCAAAACATCGTACAAAGCAACACACACATATACACTCTTTAGAATATCTGATATTTTGGATTATCTATATAACTGCCCCTTTCTACTGATAAAGGTAACTGAGGTGACTGACACTTACTTTCTAGGGTGGTTTGACAGTCTTTATGGTCTATGACTTTCATTCATTTATTTCTTCTGCAGACCCTTACTGAGCTCCTATCATGTGTCAGATACTGTGCTAGGTACAGGGGACACAAAAGTGAATGCGAAAGGGTCCTTTCCTTTAAGAGGCAGTCTACTAGGAGAGAACAGTTATGTAAACAAGTGCAACCAAAAACAGAAGGTGAGAGAGAGAGGGGTGAGAGGGAGGGAGAGGGGAAGAAGGGAGAGATGGGAGGGGAGGGAGGGGAGGGGAGGGCGGGGAAGGGAGGGAAAGAGAACCCTAACCCCAGTGTCAGGGAGAATAGGACAGGCTCTATAGAAAAAATACAAGAAAATTTGTAGAGACACTACTTTTCCAGCTTTATACCCCTAACAGTGGCAGCAATGCTACCAACATTTACTGTACATGCCAGGCACCAGGCTGAGCTCTTCACACACATTAATTCTCAAAACAAGCCTATGAGGTAGATATAAATAAGGAAACTGAGGCTTAGAAAGTTAAAGTGACTCTCCCAAGCTCATGTAGATAAGTGGCAAAGCCAGGACTCAATCTCAGGCCTGACTACAAAACCTGAGCTATTAACTACTCTGCTATGCAGTCTTCAGATATCTGAATTAATGATCAGGGATATTAGAAATACGCATTAAAATAAAAGATGCTCCCAGTTCTCCTTGTGGATGCTCGGGGGGACCGCTCTTCCCAAGCTCCCCAAGGTTGGGTGTGGTCACGAGCCTTACTTGGGCTGACGAAATGTGAGTAGAAGTGATGTGTGTCACTTCTGAGGAGTTTTCAGAGCCAGTGAGCAACTCACCAGCTCTGTCTCTCTCTGCCAGGACAGCTGGCAGAGCTCCAGACGGTGGCTGCTGCATCAGCCTGGGGGGCAGAGTAGTGCTCCCCCAGCAAACAGACCTCGTCCTAAGCCACCAGGGACCTGGGCTGCTGGTTATGGTAGCACAGCCCAGCACATCCTGACCAGCACAGTGAGAGCTACGAGGATGAAGACTTCGGGAAAAGGAGTTCTGTGAACGCCACGTTTACCCAAAGAGAGATGTTACCGAAGTTACCACTTACTTTTTCTTTGGTAATCTGCCACAGTCCAACAGGAATGCCCATATCTGATGAGTCCCTGCCATGGCTATCCACAGAATGTCATCTCTTTGGACCTCTGAACCTTTATGAAAATAAACAGTAATTACTATAGATATATCTGGTTAATACAAACATTCCCAATCTTTCAGAAATTTAAATTAAGGGAAGACAGCAGTATGTTTATAAATCATCCGATGGAAGAAAGTAAAAATATTTGCAATGTTTTAAGTCATTTTGGAAATTTTTCCATTTTCCTCATGAAAAGTTTACTTCTTTAGACTTATAAATTTACATTCACAGAAATCCGAAGTATTCTTAATAGCAAAATGTCCCTCTGCATCTCTGGGCACAATGTTTTTAAACATCTGATTTCTTATTTTATGTGACAGAAGAAATGGGTTGACACACACTCTCCAAAGAAACTCTGGCACTCAAGTACCTAAATTACATGCTTTAGGAATATAGGAATAGTTCTTTGAACAATTTCTCATGAAAGGACTGTATCTTTTAATAGTTTAAGAAATGTATATTTCTACCCCAGTATTAGCTTTTAAGACTTAGACTCACATCACTGCTGCTCTTTAAAAATCTACTGTTTAATTGTGAACCTTTTTCAAAAAGATATGGTTGACATGTAATAAAGCTAAGAGTACACTATATTACAATATAGCTGTTTTCTAAAATTAATAAATAATGTTGTTTTTTTAGACTGATATTACAACTTATTACAATGTGACAAGGCTCTGTTTCTCAAATTAATTCTATTTTTAAAATATTTAATTAAGCTGTATTCTGAAGCTACTTTTACATGTAGTTGAGACATTTTCACTAAAATAATTTGGTCAGACATATGCTAAAATAAATATATCGGAAAGGCTATTTTATTTGTACTTTCTTTAACTTCAAGTAGTTGTGTCCAGAAGGAATTTTTCTTCCTTAACTTGAATTACTTTCAAGTGTCTTTTAATTTAACAAAATTAAATTTTGTTTATTTAATTTAAATTTTGTTTAATTTAACAAAAATAATGTTGATGGTCAATAAACTGTGGTTGCTACGTGCCAAGCACTTTACAGAGATTATCACTTGAATCTTCTCAAAAGGCCCTTCTTACAGGCCTTTTACAAAAGAAACTGAGGCTTAGACAGGTTAGCTAACTTACCAGAATCACAGAGCTAGTAAATGAAGGAACTGGAATCTGAACCCAGGAAGTCCAACAAGAAAATCTATTTAACGTGCTGCCTCTTTCGCTGTGTTAATTGCTATCATATGAAATCTAAAGGAAAGTAGTTTACTTCCACTTAATTTTTCATAGTCAAATATTTTTAATAAACATAAATTAAAAGTGACAGTGCATCCATGTATTCTGGGGACTCAGTCTCTGCTTAATCACTTTAGAACTAGATCAAAAACTTTTCATTATTATATTCTTTTATTTTGCCCCTGCCATGTGAAGACAAAGGTTGAAGGTGACCGTCTATAAGCCAGAAGAGAGCTCTCACCAGAAACCAATCATGCTGGCACCTTGACCTTGGACTTCTAGCCTCCAGAACTGTGAGAAAATAAAATTCTGTTGTTTAAGCCACCCAGTCTGTGGCATTTTGTTATGGCAGCCCGAACTAAGACATTCCCCCTGAGAACAGAAATGAGACAAGGAGATCTGCTATCAACACTTATTTAGTATCATATGAAGGTCCTAATTCATACAAGAAAAAGAAGCAAAAAGCATAAAGATTGGAAATAAAACTATAATCATTAGAAGATGACATGGGTTTAAAGCCTCTCTACTTTGCCAAAGAAGAGCTGTGTTGGTATATACAGGAGTGAAAGACCAAATCAGGTCTCCATCATCTACTTCTCCAAACAGGCCAGGCTAGTTCAACTAGGGTCTACCTATGAGGCCAAAGCGTCATCGTAATATTAGTGTGAGCATCTGTTTGGTCTTAGTCTCTGTGTACTTATTCCCTTTAGAAGCTGGAGGTATGAGAAATAGTGTAGAAGCAGAGGCTGTGTCAGGTCGGGACTCAGGAGTTTATGATTCTACATACCAGTTGATGAGGATGATAATGACGACGGGGGGCATGGTGGTGAAAATGAAAACCATTCGGAACACTTCCTGTTTAAGGCACTGAGCTAATAATAAGCACTTTGTATGGATTATTTCCTTTAACAACATTAGCAAGTCTAGTTATTATCATCTCCATTTTATAAAGAAATTGAAAGTCAAAGGGGTTAAATAATTTGTTGGTATTCACACAGCTAAACCTGGAATAATAATCCATTAGTGAGTCCAATTCCAGATTATTAGTGTTCTGATCAGAATGAAGGAACTACAGGAGTGAGCCTGTGCTCTTCTGGCCAACACTCTGCTGGGCCCGTTCTCTTTTCCCTCCCTTCCACCCCTGCTCCATGGACTTAGCTTTGGATTCAATTACCCAAGTGCATTTTAATGTGTGATCAGAAATTGAGATGTGATCAAAGGTGACCAAGGCTTTATACTCCAGTATTTGTGGCTAGGTCACTCCTTCTGCCCTTCTCTTCTTGTAGCCTCTGGAAGAGCCTGTGGCCAAATAATCTCTTTCGAGTATTTTTTCCAGTCCCTCGCCTTTCCATTTTTGGTTTGGTTCAGCTTATCAACATCTTGAGATTTTTATAATGAGAATCTTATAGCAAACAACAATAACAACGGACACTTATATAGTACTTTCTATGTGCCAGGCACTGTTCTGGGTGCTTCCCATATATTAATTCTCACAATTCTCACAACAGACATTTGAGGTAGATACTATTAGTATCTCCCACTGAGATGAGGAAACTGAAGCATCAAGAGGCTGAGTAACTTGTCCAAAGTCACACAACTACTAAGATGTGAAACTAGTTAGAACCCAAGTGGTCTGGCCCCAGAGTCCAGGCTCATCACTTCCTTACTAAACTGCCACTCAAGAAGTTTTTACCCTGCCTAACCATTTCAGTGAGGGCTGAAGAGTTTGTTCTTGTAAATAAAATGGGAGTTAAAAAAAATGGGGGGGGGGTGTAGTCTGGCATTTATAATGTCTATCAAACTAATAATCATGTTTACACTGTTCATCCTGGATTTTTAAATCTAAAGTATATAGTTGTGGGACTTCTCTGGTGGTGCAGTGGTTAAGAATCCTCCTGCCAATGCAGGGGACATGGGTTCAATCCCTAGTCCTGGAAGATCCCACATGCCATGGAACAGCTAAGCCTGTGCATCACAACTACTGAGCCTGCACTCTAGAGCCCGCGTGCCACAACTACGGAAGCCTGTGCGCCTACAGCCTGTGCTCTGCAACAAGAGAAGCCACCACAATGAGAAGCCCGCACACCACAACAAAGAATAGCCCTTGCTTGCCGCAACTAGAGAAAGCCTGTGCACAGCAATGAAGACCCAACACAACCAAAAATAAATAAGTAAAATAAAATAAAAAATAAAATTTCCATCCTGTTGGGAAGAAGTCTCTTGACTTTCCCCTCAGCTTTAAAAAAAAAAGGGGGGCTTCCCTGGTGACGCAGTGGTTGAGAATCTGCCTGCTGATGCAGGGGACACGGGTTTGTGCCCTGGTCTAGGAAGATCCCACATTCTGTGGAGCGGCTGGGCCTGTGAGCCATGGCCGCTGAGCCTGCGCCTCCGGAGCCTGTGCTCCACTCCGCAACGGGAGAGGCCACAACAGTGAGAGACCCGCGTACCGCAAAAAAAAAAAAAAGAGTAGGGGTTCCCTGGTGGTGCAGTGGTTGAGAATCTGCCTGCCAATGCAGGGGACACGGGTTCAAGCCTGGTCTGGGAAGATCCCACATGCTGTGGAGCAACTGGGCCCGTGAGCCACAACTACTAAGCCTGCGCGTCTGGAGCCTGTGCTCCACAAGAGAGGCCGCGACAGTGAGAGGCCCGCGCAACGTGATGAAGAGTGGCCCCTGCTCGCCGCAACTAGAGAAAGCCCTCGCACAGAAACGAAGACCCAACACAGCAAAAAATAAAAATGAATAAATTTATTAAAAAAAAAAAGTATATAGTTGTATCACCAAGTATGGGTATTAGTTCCTTCTAACAAGAATGTGGCAATCATGAACATTTCAACCTTAAATTAAGAGTACACTTGGGACTTCCCAGGTGGCGCAGTGGTTAAGAATCCGCCTGCCAATGCAGGGGACATGGGTTCGATCCCAGGTTCAGGAAGATCCCACATGCTGTGGAGCAACTAAGCCCGTGAGCCACAACTACTGAAGCCCATGTGCCTAGAGCCCGTTCTCTGTAACAAGAGAAGCCACCACAATGAGAAGACCCTGTACCACAACAATGAGTAACCCCCACTCGACACAACTAGAGAAAGCCTGCGTGCAGCAACGAGGACCCAAAAATAAATAAATTAAATAAATTTATATGTATATAAAAAAAAGAGTGTCCTTAGAATCACTGACTTACAGCAGTCACAAATTAATATTAAAAAAAGGACAATGCCAATAGCTAAAAAGGTTTTGGGAGTTAAGTATTTTTAAAGGCAAAATGCCTCATAATTATCAATTATCAAGAAGGATTAGTGAAATAGTTTCAGAAAACAGGAACAAAATCAGCAAATGAAATATGAATATAAAAATTACCTGCAGTCCAGCTTTTACAAATTCTGTGTTATTTTAAGCAACTATGATCAAAATAGATCCCACTGACTAGAACCCTCTTAATGGCATCTGTGAAATCATCCATTAGTGTAAATGGTTTTTTCTGTGCAGCTTCTAAATCTCCCCTGTAAAGCAAAGCCTTAATCCACTAGGAAAAAGCAACAAAGTCTGTCACTGCCAGGGCACAGGAAAAGACTAATTATAACTGGAGGAGGAGGAGAGGAAAAAAAAAAACTCTCTACCTCTGGCGGAGGGGCAAGGAAATGTCTTTGGCCAAAGAGCCCAGACAACAAGTAGAGATTTCCCACTGCTGGGAGAGAAGCAGGAAATGCTTCAAAACCACTCACAAATATAAGACAGAGTTAAGCTGCCAGAGAGAGAAGGAACAGAATCACTGAAAAAGCTCTAAGCTCTCCACCTTGTTTCATGGAGGCCCAGGCACACAGTGC